CGATAGTTATGCAAAGTGGGCATGAGAATGGGTATTGGAAGAGAGGTGATGGAAAGAAAGACGAGGAGAAAGAAGGGAGTTTGTATCACTCTGGGCCATCGATGTCCAATCCCGTGACTTGGTCTCGTTTCCCAAGCCTGAAAACGCCACAAGAATAACAGCAAAAACCCTCTCTTACCCCGCCTGCTGACGATTTCATTATCTTGGGAATGTACAAAGACTACCGTTACTTGGGGATGAAAATGGTACGAACCAAGGGCTACGATCTCTTTGTCTCGAACCCGTACCGATCCTACAATCAACATCACCCCCTCTCCCATTTTCCGGTTCTAAGCTCTTTCATTCTTGGTCATCATGCAGAGCTCGAGATTGGTTGTTGGCATTGATGTTGGTGCAAGCAAAACAGGTATCATCAAATCCACTAGATGCTTCCTCTCTCTGACTGTATTCATCGCTCATGCCCCAATCTGTATAGTGGTGTCCTATCAAGTTACGGCAGTTAATAATCGCCCACCAAGATTCCTATGTCTGGACGGGAGCCCGATAATACCTTCAGCAATTGCCTACTCACAGGGGGGGTTGTCGTGCTGTGTTGGCCGCCAGGCTCAGCGCCAAGAGAATTGCATTTATTGGTTAAAGCATATATTTGATGACGCTCGTGTTTTACAAGACTCTAATGATGAACTAATCAAGGAACTTGTCAAGTCGACATATGAGCACCTACCTCCAAGGCAACGCGAAGATCCTTGCCTTCTTATATCAGACTTCTTGGGCAAGATATTAGGGCACCTCATATCTGCGCTGAAAGACGAACCTGCAGTGGAAGGCCTGCCACAGGACTTCGTTTTTGCCACACCTTCGACTTGGTCAAGGACTGCTCATGTCAAGATGGAACAGGCTGTTAACTCAGCGGGGTTCACAAGACTCAACGGAGCAAGAGTCCATTTTGTTTCCGAGGCCGAGGCTGTTGCCGTATACGTCGTCAATGGAGGAGGATTTAACATGGGGCAGCTCTGCCAGGTAAGTATCCAACTAAGTGACACTGCCTCTTATGATCGACGTTGTTCACTTGATGACTGGTGCTTTTCTCCAACAGGTAGGCGACGGAGTAATGGTCGTCGACTGTGGCTCAAGTACTGTAGTACGAGCTCCATTTCCATATCACCCAGACTGTTCCTAATACTAATAGAACGAACAGGACATAACTACAATTCATGTCGACCAGCAAACCCCGTTTGACTACCAACGGCTGACTGCTTTCGCAAGTAAGCAACACCAAGGATGTCATGATCCCGACTAATTCATTACAAGGTAACGCCTGTGGAGCCGTTCAATTCCAGTCGCTCATCTATAGAGCACTGGAGAACAGTCAAGTGAATCGTCCGGTGACAAGAAGGTCCAAGCTCCCTGCGTTCGTCGATTGGGCCCGGCATAACTTCCCGTGCGGTCCTGTAAAAGCACCTGGTAGGGAGTTTCCGCACTGTGACATGGAGGAGATCTACGATACGGTTGCCGCCAAGATTATTGGCCACATTCGACAAGAAATTGATTGTGCCAATATCTGTGTTGGACGCAATGTTATCAATGTACACCACCCTTTGGTTGCTCCTCTCGCCGGATCAAGTGGCTAACATGTTTGACAGAGGCTAATTCTGGTTGGAGGCCTTAGTTGCTCTCCAGAAATCTCGGGGAGAATCCGGCGCAGGTGTCGAGACGAGTTTAATATCGTTGTCCACCAGCCAGCTGAAGAGTACGATCACCACCCTCCTCGTCATAGCACATTTCATTCTCTTCTTTTCGAGATTTATTAACACGGTATAGATATCGAGTAAAAGGTGTTTGTGCGGGTAGCACACTGTGCGGTATCTTTGGGGGCTCACAACTGTCCTTCAAGTTCTGGAAAAACTACCATCTAGTCCAAGGGCCTAATCAGTATTTTCCAATTTTCCGCAAGGTAATACGTGGTCATGGTCTGTGAAGTTGCTTCTGGTGTGTTAACCTTTTCGCAGGGAACACGTTGCAACGAAGACGCCCTGCTCGTCCCCATGAGACTGACCCGAACTGGGGATGGAAAGCACACCATTACGGTGGTAAAGAGTGACCAGCAGGGACCATATATAATAGTCGGAACAATTGACTGCAACTTATCGCTGGTCCCAGGGAACTGGCAACTTCTGGATGTCGTGATCAACTGCCGAGTCACAGTAAGGTCCGAAGAACAACACCTTCCTCCCGAGCGCATGCTCCATCTCGCTGTGCATGGAATAGTAGATGAAGGAACTCGGCTTATTGGTCACACACGAATACTCATGCAGGGTGAGTTGTGAAAGCACTGCGCTTGGGGTCTTCTTCAGTTACTGTGGGCACGACAGGTAGAGGAGAAAAGAAGGTTTGGACACACTAAAATGTAGGGTTTAGTTAGATGATTAGAATGCCATTTTCTGTACGGACTGGATTGGAGGTTGCCATTTCCAAATGCATCTCTTAGATTTTACTTCTGTAGGATCTGTCATGTAGACTGCGTATGGATGGAGTAGATGAACGGAAGCTGTACGCCTATTAGGGCACAATCATACAGTCTACTGCCCCTTACCACGGTACCAAAGGATTGTCATAAGCGCAGTTAAAGAAGCATAAACATGACTCGAGGATGACAACACAAACACTACAGTACTAAGCACTTGACTGCTTATCCCCTGACTCAAAGGCCTCTCGTGCATCTCAGTGGTTTCTATCATTTTTCAAGACCCCCACTGTCAGAGCCTATACCCTTCTTATGGAAGGACTTCTTCCAATCATCATGAAGGAATAGCCTTCCCCCAGTAGAGTATTCTAGACTTGCTAGCATTCCACTTACAGGAACAGAACATTCTCGCACCAGGGTCACACTACACCGACCGCACACTGACCGGGCGGCAGGTGCATCTCAATCCTGCCACGCGCTTGCTCTGTTTGAGGCAGAAAGAAAATATCGCCTGTCCTAATAACATACATGACCAACCATATCTTTATAAAATCCCACAAGCCCACTTCCCAGACGAAAAAAGAAAAGAAAATGAGGCGATTTACGAGACCAATGAGAAAGTATCTCCAATCCCTGAAAGCCTCTCAATATCATTCGGTCGGATTGGATATTGTTCAATTTTGACAAATTGACGCGGCCGCCTGCATCGGATCCCGGACTCCTATGCCCCCTCCCTCATGCTTGTATATGCAGTTCATTTGGCGATGAAGTCTTCGTATAATAGCCGCTCTCTCTACAGGTGGTCACCGATGCGAACGAGGAAATCGTAGTGCGTGGAGCCCTATATTCCTGTCAGGATAAGGCCCCCAGTTTTCTTGGCTGGGTGCAGGCGATTCCGCTAGGTGGTGTCTGTGTGGAGGGCCTTGTAAAGGAAGGACGCAAAGAGGCAGATATGACTAGACTATTCTGGGAAGTGTTAACTTGTTGCATCAGACTCTGTAGATAATTGTGCTCATCGCTGTGGTAGTGGTGATGGAGCATCCATCTGAGGCGTGTGTGTGGCGAGAAGGAATGGTGGCAGACGAGAACTTGGGATTAAGAACCAGAATTATCGGAGTTGGTGGCTATCGAAGGAGCATTCACTTTCAGCTTGATTTGAGAGTGTCAGTATTCCCATGGCGTTTGTTTCGTGGGGGGGATGGTGACAGACGAAGATGAAATACACCTTTAGGGTAGGGAGCAAGAACTCGTGCTAGATCAATCCTCTCCGTAATCAGTGGGCTCGTGATGTCCCTCCCGTCTGCGGAAAGTGTCTCGGGTTTCGGAGGGTAACAAGGACAGTACAAGCTCTTCTCATCTGTTACGCCTTCTGGACCATACTGTGCCTTATGCATGGGTATTGTTTCACGCGTCTAGCCTTACGAGGGCCATATTGACAAGAGGAAAAGATCCTAGGTGTTATTTTCATGTTGTCTAAGCTCAGAAGGTAGGCGATGACAGGAAATGGAGGGTCTGAAAAATTGGTTATCAGGAACTGACTGTATGCAAAATAGAGGATGTGGATAATATACGAGGGTATGGTGTCAGCTTCTTAGGCCAGATCAAGCTTCATTAGGAGGATGATCTATCAGTCATCGTAGTGAATTGGTTCTGCCCAGCCGCTATCACGTTTGCACATCTTGCACATCTCGATGCCACATATTGCTACATCTACCAAGTGAATATGGTTGAGAATAGCCAAGAAACTTATTATTGGCTGATAATGCCTGCTACTGTGCATGTACTCCGAACTGGGCGTAGAGATGGGCCTGAATGGGACAGATTCTGAGAACTCGACTAGTATTTCCCCAGGATAGTCCTCACATCATTACCAGTGTTCATGGGGTTTAGCAGTTACAGGCCTTGTCGACTTTCCAAAGAGGGATGGACAAGAGAGACCCCCTGATTTGATAGATATAAGTGCAGGCATGCATTTCAAGCGCAGGTTTGACAATCAATAGTAGGCTTACTCCCGGTAACCCCCACCTCTCCATTCCAGTCTTCATGGAAGCATTGGGTGAAATAGACACTTCTCGGCTTTTATCAGCTCTAAAGGATAAGATCGCTCAGAATCTAACAAGCTAGAGATCATCAAAATGGCGCATTATCTCCTCTTGGGACAGACATGTCAAATGGTCGAAGAGACAGGTTTAATGATTCCTTAGACAAAAGAGAGGGGTTGAGAAGGACAACTGCTGTGGAAAGACAGAATAGAATAGAATAGACCAAGAAAAGACTTAGGATGAAAGTAAAACAAAGAGAATAAGAAAAAAAAGAGATGGGCCCGAACCGCGATTCGAACGCGGGGCCTCTCGCACCCAAAGCGAGAATCATACCTATTATTTAGTTAGACACTGAAAACGAGACTCAACATTTAGTTGAGGGCTGCTTACCACTAGACCATCCGGGCTCGTATACGTATTTACGAGGGAAATGGAAAACAAACGGTAAGAGAGGGAATGATCACGAAAAGTAAAGTCAAAAAAGAAGGAAGATAGGCCCGAACCGCGATTCGAACGCGGGACCTCTCGCACCCAAAGCGAGAATCATACCTATGAATTTGTTAGACGATGAAGGGTTGTGGAATATTTGATTCGATAAAGCTTACCACTAGACCATCCGGGCTCGTATGTGGGGTTCTTTGAGCTTTTCCTTTAAATATACGAAAGAAAACTTGGCCCATAATAAGTTTTGTTGCCGTTGGTGTACCGTTGGCAGTGGTCAAATATATACTATGTTTATATGTTTTCGACTGCCGGAACGCTGGAAGAATTTTACATTGTCCGCTTTTCAATGGTTCCAGCTCCATAACGCTTATTCATCGCCGTTGGGGACCCATTCTTCATATCTACAGTGACCGTGCGTTTACATTTATATATGATGATTATCTTGGGTTTTTTTTTTCTATATGGTTTTACGGAGTAGTAGATTATTGCTTTCTGACCCACCCAGAAAGCAAGTTGAGTCATCGCACATCTGGGATAACTAGAATTTACAGCTCAGAATGACCTCCAATATATCACTCAACAGCCTAGTTTCATTATCCATTTTCTATCGAGATAGCCCGGATTCCACTTCGATATACAGGTAGACCTCTACAAAATGTGATTCAGCCCTAATGTATGGGCCTATGCTCGCACAAATGGTGGGAATGGTTATGGTCTGACAATCAGGTCACTGTATCATAGAAGCTCAGTTTTGCATGCTATGAAATGTGGATGTAACCTTTGCGTATAGTTATTTACTAGACAAGTACTACAATTCTGGCTCGGTGTTGACAGACACATGTTCTTGTAGCCTAGTCTGAATGTATATATATCCGATAACGGCAGATCATTTGAGTTAGTTAGTGCTGTTCTTTTAGTAGTAGTATCTGCAGCTGGACCATGCACCACCAGCTAGTGATGCATAGCTGCCAGGCACTCAAAAATAGTCACGATTGCTTGGGGGTTGCCCTCGATGGACCGAGGGGATTTAACAGTCATGTTAATGAAGAGGGTTGGTGTTTACGGAACCCGACTGGGCACCTACACGTAGATAGCATCAAAGCAATCACCATGTCCCTCGGTCCAATGCCACTGAGTAGAGCAATTAATAACTCGCGATTATAGGTCGTGGTATATCGTAGAGTTTATCATATATGACGGTTAGATACCACACCACTAGTACCGAGCATTCGAGAGCGGCCTGACCGGTGAGTGCACTTCAGGCCAAATTAGCTCTAAGACCGGCGTCTAAATCCCGTCGAAGGAAAGAGCACCAAACGGGGCATACGCTTAAACTTATGGGCAGATCTTCAACCAATCTTTCTTACGCTGGGAGGTGGTACTTATGGACTGCCTGAAGCAGAGTCCGGCTCATTCAATACATCCAACGGCCGTAGTCACGTCCCATCATTGATGAGGTATCTTCTTTCGGGTTCCCGCAAATCTGCTGCAATGTCTTCCTTGGATGGATCGGAGGTCCCTGGTAGCTCGCTGCTGCCATTATATCCCATGGAGTAGAAGAGCGCCAGCCCGTACGCGGTAAAATATGTCTTGGGATGCCGAGGACCGAGTTGCTCTGCAAACATTCGGAGACTATCTTCGACAGCAAGCCAGTTAACCCGTTGACATCATCTCTGTTGAATGCTGCCTCAGAATTCGCGACAGTTGTGTCCCATAGGATCCCCTCAGTTGTCGACCCTGTCCCGATAGCCTCTGCCGCTGAATTCAGGACATTCGATGAAGAAGACGGCTGGACAAGATGAGAGTTTCCCGATGACCTAGAGGCGAGCAATGAGCCACGGATAATACTATCGCCGCGATAACATTAACATGCATTGGACGGGTATCACGTGATATAGATTAAGGGGTCAATAGTTAAACAAAGATCTGGACGCAATCTGATAAACGTCTGCAAGTGAATGTCAAAATAGTCAGATAAGGTGACAACACGCATATTAGAACGCTAGCTCTATGCCACACCACCCGACTACTAATTCTATAAAAATATCACCATCCGCAACAGTAGTAGTATGGAGTAGATCTGAATAATGATCAGCCACAGGGTGGGACCGGGATGCGAGGCGCAGCAGCGGAGAACCATTCCACGCCAATCCGATCTGGGCAAGTAGTACGTACCGACTTTTGGTAGCTGTACTGATTCGGACCCGATTCCAACTCACCTCTTTTTCTCCCCGTGCGTTGGCCTTCTCTTTCATTCATTCCTTCATTTGTCGCTGCTTTGGTCTTTCCCGCACCTCCTCTCTGCCCAATTTCCTGCCATTGGGAGCCTTGTTGCTGTTAGGATTCGACTCCCTCTTGAAACAGCGGTTCTTTCAATGTATAGATAGAGTGGTGTTTCAGTTCTGTGCCGGACCCATCTCTGCCCTTTCAAAAAGTTCCACACATTCTTTTATCATTTTCATTCAATCTCAGTTTTTCTTTACATACATAGATTTGTTGTTTGATATTATAGGGTGATCGTCAATCGCCCTCGGAACCGTTATCCGATAATTAACAGGGGTATTGGATACTCAGCAGAGAGACCATGTTGTATCGCAATGTTCAACGGTCCGTGATCTCTTTCTCTCGGGCTGGCCTGCGGACGCCTCCCAGGACAACCAACACCACCACCACCACTACTACTGCCCGCATAACAACACCCTCCTATCAACGGGGGTTCTCACAGGGCCAGATACGGAGAAATACAGACTCCCCTTCTTCCGAACAAAATGCCACAAAGGAAGGTAAAAGACGGAAGAGCGATGACTCGGAAGAGGAACCTACTTTACGCTCGACGTTGCTGAAGATGGGGGAGTCTGCAGCTACTACTCTTGCTTCAATGGCTGTTCTTGGGTAAGATATCATTGTCATCTTCCAATGATCTTTTCTTCTTGCTAATGACTGCTAGTATGGTTGGATACGCGTACCATCGATACTACAAGTATCTCATCCTGGAGAAGATGGAAAACGCCTTCAAACCGGGCGATCCGGCCCTCGAGCTGGCCGGTGTGGAAGATGGAAAGCACCAGTCTGGCTATGAGGAGCATTGGGTGCATCGCGATGAGCAAGCCAGGATGGACAGAATCATCTCCGGTCATGCCGGAGGTCGGTATTACCTGCTGGTAGGCGAAAAGGGGACTGGAAAGACGTCGATGCTTCTAGAGGCCATGCGCAAGATTGATGGTGAAGGGTGTGCCATGTTCGAAGCCCATGCTGATCTCGAGCTCTTCCGGATTCGTCTGGGAAAGGCTTTGGACTATGAATTTCACGAAGAGTAGGTCTACTAGAGTATTCTTCTCCTATGTGTGGGCTGGGGTGCTGACGCCATCTGAACAGCTACATCGGCAGCCTTTTCAGCATCAAGGGCCCTCGGGACACTACCGCTCTTCTTGATATCGAGCGTGCTTTCAACAAACTGGAAAAGGTTGCTCTTGCCAGAAGGCGCAGCAAGAAGTCGCCCTTGGTCTTGATCATTAACAGCGCGCACCTGATTCGAGACGATCACGACGGCCAGGATCTTCTTGAGGCCATCCAGCAACGGGCCGAACAGTGGGCTGCAAGTGGACTGGTGACGACAGGTAAGCCTTATTACAGATACCATACGTTTACTTGTTAGTATTGACGGAAACAGTCCTCAACAGCGACGAGTACTGGGTCTATGAACGCCTGAAGAAGTATGCTACCAGGATGGAGGTCATCCCCGTGCGGGACCTCCCTAAAGACCGGGCAATGGAAGCCCTGAAGAAGTACCGCAAGCAGTACTTTGGCCAGGAATTGACTCATGAGGAGCTCGAGGAAGTGTACAATCTCGTTGGCGGCCGACTGTCCTACTTGAACCGAGTTGCCAAGGCTCTAGACTACAGGAAGCTCTGTGAGAGCATCTGCGAGGCCGAGAAGACTTGGTTCCTCAACAAGTGCTGGATCCTGGGACCTGAGATGGATGACGATGTGATGGACCAGCAGAAATATGCTGTGAGTGTAACCCTCTTCGTCGATATTAGAGACCGGCGCACTGACCGAGAGGTAGTCTGCGGCAATGGTGCTAGCAAAGGCACTCGTGGACAAGGGGGAGGAAATGGACAAGACGTATGATCCGAAACTGGGCCACATTCTCCCAGAGATTCCTCTCCATGAAGCGCGACAAATTATGACGCGCGCGGACTTCATCCAGAGCTATGACCATGAAAACATCTTCACGATCGACTCGCGGGCGATGGTGCGTGCGGATTCGGTGCCCATGCAGAATGCATTCAAGGAGATCTGTGGCTGGCCAGGATTCGACAAGCACCTGGAAGGCACTCTTACGCGCATTGGAGACATTGAGAGCTTGGGACGTACTCGGGAGCTTACGATCAAGGACCTCTGGAACCAGGGCAAGTATCAACTGGTTATGCGGGACCACAACGGTCGTGAGCAGGGTGCGGCAGAGTTCTCTGTTGTGGAGCAAGCAGTGGACAAGGAGGATAACTGAAGATCAGCTCAACCTGGTCAGCCTGTACGATGTAAATAGAAGCAGATGGGAGATTCTCTGGGACACCTGATCTCGGGGGATATTTTTGAGTGTACTACTACTACATGTGCCACATGGTTGGGAAGGTGGCTTAACCGATCCATGTATTTAGATGATCCGATTCGAAGCCACTTACGACTATCTTATAGAATACCAACTAACTGCATCAAATTCTTGGACCTTTGGATTCTTTTGGGGGCATCGTCACGGTGACATCATGGCCGGGGTGCCTCTCACCGCCCGGCAGCACTTTCTGACCATCGCATCATCCCAGCCTCATCTTTATTTGGCTGCTGTCGTTTTGCACACCTCCCTTTCCTCCCTTCCTCCCCTCCTCCCCTCTTCCTGATCTCTCCGACTCAGTCTATCACACCATCAATTCACACCCGCTCACAAACAACCCTACCCACCAAGAAAACAATGGCTCCCCGCAAGAAAGAAGTCCTCTCCGCGGTAACAGCAGCCGACGACGACACCGCCGAGAAGACGACGCGCCAGCTGCGACACAAGACGCGCCTGGATCGCATCCACCCCGCCGTGCGCTTCATCCTCGCCGTGTTTGGCAGCTTGGCATTGAGCTCGACTCTCTTCTCCCTGACGACTGGGATCACACTCGGCGAATTGGGCCG